GACTTGTCAAGGGTTTTGTTTTCGTTTCTAAAACAAGGCGATGATGATGTGTGATGTATTTAAATATTATACGTATAATACAAATCAAACAATAATTGCAATGGGGATTTTCCGTAGCCTAAGTTCTTTTATAATTTATTTAAAATAGCATTGATCTACTGTACTACCTTAAGAAATATGCCTTTGAAATTAACTTTGAATACACTACGCCGAATACGCTAGATTTATGTGGACGTTATTTTCTGTGAACTTAAGTAAATAAAAAATTATTTTGGTTAGTTATTTTTATTTTATTTACTAGTTATTTGCACACTATTGAATGCAAAGTCTTGGAATGTACAATAGGGGTGATTAACCTTGAGTTTCTAGTTTAGACAGTAATCAGGAACGTCACATATCGGGAAGGCAATTTGTTATGCCACATGACATCAATTTCGCTCAGTAATAACATACTTGACATTTTCCACCCACTTAAATTAACGTTATCTAATCAATCAAGTTAACTTTTACGATGGTGCTAATTTGTTACACAGATTTGATAACAAATATTATGTTTATGGAACGGATATTCATTTACAGCTTTTTTACGTTTACTTATCAAGTGTCAAATCTCCCACCGAGTTTTGGATTAAGGTTATGATTAATACGATGAGTGTGTAACTGATTACGTTAATTTAAGTTCTGAAAATCCGTCAACATACACCTGCTATTTGGCGCCATTGCATCTGAACAGATGTGAGTTTATGTTTCTTCGTGAGAGAAAAACTCCTTTTTATCCAGGCTACACTGAATCTTCAAATTAATAATAATGAAATATGTAGGCTGATAAGACTATACAATTTTAAAGTGAAACACGTGAGTATTAAATTTGTATTCATAACTATTCGAGCGTTTACAACATACATCGTGTTAGGTCCAATAGATACTGACTTTTGTTTGTTGGTCCAAACCCTTGACTTGTTACTATGTATTTTGATTACTGTAGTATCTAAAGATATTGACGACAATAGGGCGGGTGAACATGGACGGTTAGAGAAGGTTCTCTGTTCAACCTTGTAGTAATCTATTTCTGTAGATGACTGTGGAAGGAAACAATGGAGTAATAGAGCGCTGTATGGTGACAATACCATATTTTCTATAGTTGATGACAACATTTTGAAATATTGATAATCATTTAAAAATTGTAAGGGAATTTTGCTATCCAGGCTATAGGACAAATTATTGAATGGATCACTGTAGTGTAGGACTGTTCATACGATTACAGATATTACGGCTATTAAATTGTTGAATTTGTTGTAAATAATACAAACTAGTGGACCTGTTGCTCGAGTTCGAACAATTGCGTAGTAATATAGGCATTATCTTAAGACGAATATCAGTCATAATTTCCGATGACATTAAATGAGTTGACTCAAAGATTATGGAAATACTCACTATGCACATAACAGTTCAATATAATCAACATTTCTTGTAAATATCTTATCATTTTTGTCGCATTAGGTTGTCCAAAATGTTACTAATATTATAAATGTGAAAGTTTGTGTGTTTGTTTGTTTGTTTATTTGTTTGTTTGTTTGTTTGAAGTTCAATCACGCACTAACTACTGGTTGGATTGGGCTGAATTTGGTATGGTGATAGCTCACATTCCCGATTAACATATAGACATACTCTTATCTCAAAAGTGCTTTCGGGCTCCACCCAAGTGGCTCTGAAGTTTCCCATAATACCATGTTTACCTTATGAGTATTCATATTCAAAAGGAATTGAAGAATTTTGTCAGCTGTCTCAACTACAGAAGTTGGTTCTATGATATTTAATAGCATTAAAAGTTATAAAGTTTACCAACAGGGTGCAGCACTAATTTTTTCATTTATGACAACAGCTAATTTGAACCAAGCAGCAACAAAAAGCTGTGAGAACTATACTTTTTTCTATTGTTTATGTGCAGTGGTAGAACATTGTGGCTATGGTAGATGTGCTATACTATAGTTTACCGTAACTTTAAAGACACAAATTTTATCAAACCGTGTCCTCTCCTATTCTAAATGTAAGGTCATTTTGCAAATCTACACACCTAGACGAACATTCTGGTATATAATATGTGGGGTTAAATCTTAAAACAAAAAGCCTTATCGTTCACAAAGTTTCATGTAGCGTATGAATAATATAGAAGATAATCAGAAATAAGTAAAAAATTTGTTAGTGTTAATTACATGTACGTTCATACTAAACATTGATGTATTTTCATAACATTTATGACGCTGTAGTTTTCAAGACAGAACTCTGTAAAAATATTTTCCTTAATCGTACAAAACAATAAATTGATAGCATCGATATTCGAATCCATTTGAGACTTGACTTGAATAGCCTTGACCTTTGCCAAGTGGCACTTCGTATGCAAAACACCCGAAGACACTTATTCCCAAAACATTTGTGGCGGCGCGAGCCATATAGAGACGAAGTGCCCGGGGCGGGCGCCGTCAAAACGAAACTGCAACTCCCCCAAAAACTCGGAGGTCGCGGATAATGGACCCTTACAGGTTCGTCCGTGACCCATGAACTGACCAATCCGGGATGTCCAAGATAGAGGGAGGGTGGACTGCTCTGGCTTGAAGTATGATGAATTGTTGACCTCTACCTAATGACTACGTCACAATTTTGTAGAGATAAATTATTAGGCTTTAAAAAGAGAGGGAATTACTTTTTATGCCAGGGTCACATTATGTCATCATTATTTTAACTTGCTAAACTTACATTTTGACACATTGAAAATATTTTCACTTCAATTAGGATCAAATACATTTGCTAATAGCAAAACAAATGGCACTTAACCTGGGTTTCTTACCATTATACCAAAAGATCTCAATTATTAGTGTGTTTTGGTTTGTTCTTTTATGTTTGGAATTTTTACCATTAAAATTGAAATGATATAATGTAATGCAATTTAATTTTATAAAATAAATAGAGTCGAGGAAATTTTAAATGAGAAATCAATATTTAAATGACATGGGAAATCTTTTTAAATTCTATTAATCAACTTGGATTTTTTTTATATCTCATGTATCTTATCTATATATTAAAAGGCAAGCATGTTTCTTTAAAACCTTTTTCCTCAGCTCGTGTGAATCGCAGGGAAAATCTATGCATACCGTTGGAAAGATAGTTTTCTGTAGAAGTGCAGAATCTCTTTAAAAATTAAAACAGGCTCAAATATAAGCACAAAAAATGGATTTGAAATTTTAAAAAATTAACATGGGCTTTATGGGTTGCCATGCTGGTAACGAAATAACAACGAAATATAAACAGAAAATCAAAACGAATGGAAGAAATTACAATCACATGTTTTATTTACAGCGTGGGGTGAAAATAGAGGAGTCTGTACCTTTACATTCTATCCCCATGTTAAATTTGTCATCAGTGTTTTTTCTTTTAATTTGTCCTAGTTGATATGAGCCACCAACAGATTGCGCTGATCTAAATGACTGATTTTGTCGAATACACGATGTTTTTTACCAAGTCAAACTTATGGAATGACTTATTATGAGCTATAGCAACTGTTATGACCCATAAACTTAGTCAGCAACAACAAATAAGATAGAAAATAGAATTTGAGACACGCATTCGGTAACTGGCTCTCACAACTACAGGGTTTTAAATAAAAAATATGGCGACAGCTGGTCCATATTGATGGGATGTCTACTTCAGTATCCAATACGTCAATACGTGTACATTACATGTTTCTGGTCGAGTTTTCGACCACTGGAAGACCACTAGTCATTATTATTTCACTTCAATATTATAATAATGTACGGAAGATTTTTAAATTTGTTTCATTTTTATTTTATTTTATACTAGCTGTAACCCGCGGGCTTTGCCCCGTTTAACTTCTTAATTTTCAAGATTATCTCGTTCGCATGGCTCAATCACGTCCTGGTTGAAGTTTGTTCGCTACGCTCACTCACCTTTAGGTTGGAGCTCGTTCGCTGCGCTTACTTGCCTTCAGGTTAGCTCGTTCGCTACGCTAACTCGCCTCCAGGTTGAAGTTTGTTCGCTACGCTCACTCACCTTTTGGTTGCAAATTAGCTGTTGTCATAAATGTAAAAGAAATAATAGTGCTGCACCCTGTTGGTAATCCTTGTAACTTTAATGCTATTGAACATCATAGAACAGAACCAACTTGTTTAATTCAAACAGCTGTTAAGATTCAATAATTCCATTTCTCTTAAGGTTAACATGGGAAACTCCAGAGCCACTGGGGCGGAGCCCGAAAGGATTTTTGAAATAAGAATATGCCTATATGTTAATCGGGAATGTGAGCTATCATCATGCCAAATTTCAGCCCAATCCGACCAGTATTTTTCGCGTTCACTTGTCACAAACATACATCCATACATCCATACATCCAAACTTTCTCATTTATAATATTAGTAGGATTGTTAATGGACTATTCCTGCTTTAAGTGATAAGCCTAAAATAAAAATAGTTGACCATCGATATTATGAACTTTAATGAAAAGACAATATTTATTTACTATAGTTTTCGTTCTATACAACTTTATTACGTTGTGACATTTTAAGTAAACTTGAAAATAAAGAAAAAATATTACAAACAAAACTGCCCCCCTCAAAAAATCCGTGTAATATAGATATTTGTTCAGCTATAAGTAGTGAAATTGTTACAATATGCTGATACTGAACAACAGACATCGGTGAAATACAATTGAGCTCAGTAACAATTTGAGAGTTTTATCTTCTTGTTGTTACAATAGTTTACAGGATTGACGGTAGTATTTAAATATCAGATCCTTGCAGGTTCGTCTTTTCTCACACTTTACATGACCTTACTCCCTATAGAATCCGCAACGTAGCTACCGCTTGTGCAAAACCGTTTTGGTAAGTCGATCCGCAGTTTTTTGTCTAGCAGTATGGTAATAGGAGCCTGTGGGGCCGTGAGCGGAGCGGCGAGGCGACGGTGGAGGCAGTGGCTCAGTACGCCGCGACGAGCCGCCGTGTGTACCTCGCGTGGGACGGAGTGAGTGACGTAGTGTAGTGATGCTGTATTAGGCTACTCATGGTGGTTATATTGATAGTCAATCCCTCTGCGGAGCCACCGTTCACCATCCACCACCCCAGCAGGACCGAGAACCTCAGCACTAGCAATACTAACACCACCTCCATCTCGTTTGTCTCATCATCTTCTTCTTCACAGGTTGATCCGGAGAGTGCCTTCGCCACTACTAAAGAGGGTGAGTACTTTATTTTACCTAGTATTAAAGTGGATGGAGATTTAATTCACTAACTACAGTTAAAATTTGATTTTCAAAGAGGCTTGTTGGCCAACTAAATTATTTCTACTATACAACCAAAAATAGTTGTATAATAATAAAACAAAAATTTTGCAGAGCATAGATTATCTTATTTTATTTCTATATAGCTACTCACTAACATTGTTATACTATTTAACTAGTTATCACAATGGAATAACCGTCATCATGCGGCATATACCCTGATAAAATGAATTTGTTTTTAACCAGTTTTCTTAACGCATAGCTTCAATTTTATCAGAATTTGCCTTCCTCAGTATATTAGTTTAGTATATATTTTTTTAATTGTAGCAAAACTAACAATGTACTAGAAAATAAGTAAATTATTACTGTATTCAATAAACAACATTGATCGCTCGCTTACTTTCCATTTAATGTTCTGGCGAACGTTTAAAAGAATTATCGACGGCAAGTGTTTGCAAACGTAAGCTATGCTCATTGGTGGTCCCAGGGGGGGGGGGGGAAATGGGATATGTTTCCCCCCCGAAATATTTTCATATTTTATTAGCTAATATAAGTACTATTAGCTTGAGCATATTTTAGAGCTCAAATACGTATAAAAATACGTTTTTAGGCTTTAAATTCCATTTTTTCCGGGGGACATTCCCCCCAGACCCACCGGTAGTAATCCCCCCCCCCCCGAAATGAAATCCTGGGACACCACTGGCTATGCTGTAATTAATACAAAATCTAATATACAAAACAATCGAAAGAATACCGTGCATAATCAGGTGCATAGACGTTTTTAGAACACACGAACCCAATTGATTGATTTTACTAAATTTATAAGGATGTATTTTGTGTAGCACACTGTTTTCTGCCCATAAGTGTAAAAACTACCATCCATTAATAGACACAGCAATAAAAAAGAACGTAAATATACAAAAATTAATCTATAAATTGACTGTATAATATTTACTTATTAATTATTTCAGTACAGTTTACTCATATTTTCATAAATAGATTACTTTTAAAATCTTGTCAAATGATGCAGCTTTAGGCCTACACTTTCGGGTATACATTTTATTTTGATTGCACATCCTAGGACACATCCTATTGATTTTGTTTCTACTTTCAATAGAAAATATTTCTATGGATGATTTCACATTCTACTTTCTATTTACCCCCGGGCGGGATATGCCGTGTTTGCTTGGCAGTGAGTGACACTCTGAGTCAGGTGACAACAATGGACCATCATCGCCATGGGGACTGAAATTGGGGCGACAGCTACTCAAAACCGACAAAGCCTCTATTATATACCAAAATTGCTCTTCCTGCAAATGAAGTCGAATATTCCAGGCCGCGGGGTGCTAAGTTAAACTATGACAACGGTGGAGAGGGTTATACTGTATCTCGTCGTACAATAGTATGTGTACACCAACAAGGGAATCTTTGCTAAATTGTAAAGATATCTATTCGTTCGTTGATTTCCCCCGTTAGATTATAATTGTTGTGAAACTCCCAACAATCACAACAATACTTGCTCATTCAGTCATTCATTTGTATCGCTGAGTTTAGAAGTCTTCTCGCACAATCTCGTTTTACTCTATCTATGGCATACTTTCCAAACTTAAATTACGATTGCCGTTAAAGTTTAACCTTTAAATGTTTTCATTCATTTATAAACACATCATTTTAACAATGTGAAGGTAAAATAAAGCTCCGTTATCATCGTAAACCCGAACACAGGCTCTAGCGCTGGTCGGGGCTTATTTTTGTTGGGAGCGTGCAGACCTAGTAGCCCAGGGGCTCACATGCCCTCAGGGCTACACACGATACCTATTGAAATGCCTATACGTGATTAATGTAACACTAGACCCCACGAACAGTGCTTAGCCACGAATGAGCCTCAATTTCGTGCGTTTACCTGATGTTAAGATGCCGTATCGTATTAGACGACTTGACATTTTATAAGTAAGCCTATTTAAACATAATTAAATCTGTTACCATTCACTTGAAATGCCATTTAACTAGTAGGTTTAAAGTAATATGACTCAGTTTTAGTACCATGCTTACGATGACACTTTTCATTCAGGTATTGTTCAGGTCGTCAGTGTCCATCCTCTAATTCACTATACGACTAGCAATCTACATCAATGTCCAATGTAACATTATGATTAATGATTAATGAAAAATGCCTTTGTTTGAAAGCGTTTCTCTGATACATCATATTAACTATTGTCAACTGACCAATTATAAAATTATTAAATATTAAACAATTATTATATTAAATTATTACAATTACTATATTAAACATTGCCCAACACAAAAATAAAAATTAAAACTACCGAAATGTGAGCTGCTTATAAAATACACCCAGTACTTGTGACAGACATTATCAATAGCAATAAAACAACCTAGGCAATAATAAAAAAGCCAAGTCTAGCTGAAGGCTAACTCACATCTAAAATGTCACTATTTTCCATCAACATTCCCATAATTTTGGAAACTCTAGTGCTCTGGCGCTGGCCTGTGCACGTTTCATCACACACGTTGTCCGTGTCCCGCGATGGACTTGCAGCGATTACCAATGATGCGAAGATCGGATGGTCGTGTAACACCGGAATTCCACCAGCTCTGGATGGTGAAAGCAAGACCATGAATGGCCTGTCCTTGGGGGCGGTGAATGGAGTGGCTGTGTACGCGGATGTACACTGTACACTGTACAGAGTTGTGTACTGTACTGACAAGTGGTCTATTATATGTTTCTACTACGCCCCATCATAACCGTCAGACTCGTTTTTCTATTTACTACTGTATTTAGTTACCTATGCTTGGCTTGGTCAGTTTAATAGGCTTTGCGTATGAAAATTGTGCGCTCAATCTGTACATTCTCATTAAGTTTTATCTTATAATAAATATTAATGAAAACCGAAACCAAGAATCCAGCTTGGTAACTGATTACGTCACATTTACTGGTGGAAATATACTTTTCCTAAGACGGATACAGTACTCAAAAGTTTTGAGATTGTCCAAGATAAACGCGTATTGTTGAACTCTACAATTTTAATAACCATTTGAAAGTACCCATACTTTATCATTATTGGTATCAAATTATTTTTTGCATACATACACTCACACACGCTTATATAGTATATCCTTTTTAAAGTTTATTATAAAAATAACTTAGCAATATTAGTTGAAATCTCAAAACACCCTATTCTTTTTTCTAAATTAAATACCATTGGTGTTACACTATTAAATAATTAGAATCCAAGCCTCTTAAATTGTGTGGATATCCTAGAAGCCGTTTACATCCTTTTTCACGAAATTGTGAGATGATCTATCTTACGAAGTGAAAAGATTAGAAGTTTTAATAATTTCACACATTTGTTTTTAGAGAACCCTGACGTGATTGTTTGTTTGAAATGCAACATATATACGATATAGACATCCTCATGCAAAATTAAATTCCAGCAAGAACTTGAAAGGTTGCAGGATATTTTATTCTGATTTCTTCACCATAATAAAATACATGTTTATTGGTTCTAAGCTATGGGAAAGTAACATTATCAAGCAATGACTGATGATCATTAGTGTAACTGTTGATTCTCCATATTAATTCAAAGACAACGTCAGAGACTTTAACGAACTGTTCGACCAAAGTATGTTGACTATTTCACGTAACTCAACACTTTTAAACGCTAAAACACTCTATTTAAAGAATGTCGATCGAGCGGAGAAATGGGAGAGCAAGTCTTCAACCAATTACAGGAAGGTGAATGAGATCGTGAATTTAGGAGAGAGTGTGAGAGTGGTGAGAACGAGAACCGACGATCACCGCGTTGTAGGTGGAGGTGGAGTTATGTAGAACAGTCAGGGTCGATCCCACGTCCTTGCCACTCTGCGGCTAGAGGCTGGAGGTTAGAAGAGCCACTACGACTGCGCTGTTTATAGATTGGCGTGTTCACAGTTATTCAACATATATCATAATGTATCCGTGACAAGGTCCTACATCGTTGTGGCTCAAGGTGATCTTAGGTTATTGAGAAACTCCAGGGCAAAATAAATACCAAAGATGAAGGTTTGTCGGGGAATACGGCGTTGTGTGTGTTAGCTGTGGTGTTTCTTGTTGTCAAATGACTCCATTGTGTTTATCATCGGCTTTAAGATACTTGGGAAGCATTTTCATGGACCAATATTTGTGATAGATAGGTCAATGAGCCACTCACTCATATAAAGAGAGTTACTTTGATATACATTGCTACTTTGACCATATTTACGATACAACAGATACACTTGCTTACAATAAATTGATATTTCATTTAATTTTTGTTATCAGTGTGTAGTATTTAAGGATTAAATTAAACCATAGTTATTAAAAAAAAAAAAAAAAAAAAAAAAAAAAACGGCTACGACTTTAAAATGGAAATGGAATGTCAATGTCCACTGTAGTTTAAATCCAATCCTATAGCAAAACTTACACTCTATGTTTGTTAATAAGGCACGTAATCCTTATATACAATTCCACATAAAGGGAATAGCTTGAAAGCTTCAGACCACGTTCTGCACACAGTCTTCTCGTTAGAGTGTAAAAAACATCTTATTATCTCTTTTACATAGAGTCATCATTTTGTAACGATTAAGAAATCGTAAACATAAGACTCCTTTTCCAAACTAGATAAATCTCGCAAAACTGATATATTTAAATAAGTACAATCTTAATTCTTAATAATTCTGAAAAAAAAATAAAAGTCTTAGTTCATTGGTTTACTACATCTAAAAGAGGACCCATCCTTGACCTTGCCCTTGACATCGACCTTGGCCAAGGTCAGTGGCCGAGCGTCGTCAGTCATTCTTGACAATATGGCCACCACCACTTTGAACTTCGCCGGTTAGTTTGTCGAGTGTTCTTGGGGTCTTCTACATAGTCCCATCTAAATGTAATAGATTTCTTATATAAACAATTGAAATCTGATTAA